TTAACTCTTTATTTAGTTATCTGCCTTGCAGTCAACTTTAAAGTGAGCCTGATCTGGCATAAAACATTGAAATATACATATTATTCTTCAAAAAGGCCCAAGTCCCCAAAAAAATAGCAGAGGATGCAATTTGAGTGTAGTAAGTAAGGTACATTAATAAAAAACAGAAGAACTGGCTGAGGTAAAGCCTAATAAAGCAATGGGTCCTGATGGTATTCATCCCAGAGTTCTAAGAGAACTTCGAGGTATAGTTGTTGGACCATTGACGAACCATTCACTTTTTAATCAATCTCTTCTAATAGGAGAAATTTCCTATGACTGGAGTACAGCTAATATTATAACTATTAGCAAAGGCAAGGTAGAAGCTGGCAATTACAGGCCAGTGAGTTTAACATTGGTTTTAGTCAAGTTAATGGAATCAATCTTGAAAAGAAGGATCATTGATCACTTAAAAACACACAATTTGCTGGACCCAAAGCAGCATGGTTTTACTGAGGGCAGATCATGTCAGAATAATCTGACTGAATTGTTTCACTCTATTAGCAACATTTTGGACCAGGGTGGTGCTTTGGACATAGCATATCTTGATTTCAGCAAGACATTTGATACAGTTCCACATAATGATCTAATACAAAAGTTGTACAAGCTACGACTTAGCCCTTGGGTGGTTTAGTGAATATGCAGTTGGCTAAAGGAATAGATACCAGAGTGCGGTTGTAAATGGGGTTCATTCAGAACCGAGATTAGTCACTAGTGGTGTACCACAAGGTTCTGTACTAGGTCCTGTTCTATTTAATCTATATGTCAGTGATATAACTAAAAGGTTTGTTGGGTAAGGTACAGTTGCAAGAAAAAGTATGTGAACCCCTTGGGATTACGTGGAGTTTTGCATGAATTGGGCATAAAATGTGCTCTGAAGTCACAACAATAGAAGAACACAGTCTGCTGAACATAATACCACACAAACATTAGATGTTGCCATGGTTTAATTGCACATAACATGTAAACATTCACAGTGCAGGGAGGAAAAAGTATGTGAACCTTTGGACTTAATAACTGCTTGACCCTCCTTTGGCAGCAATAACCTCAACCAAATGTTTCCTGTAGTTGCAGATCAGACCTGCACACTGATCTGGAGTAATTTTGGACCACTCCTCTTCAGAAAACTGTTTCAGTGTAGCAATATTCTTGGGATGTCTGGTGTGAATCGCTCTCTTAAGGTCATGCCACAGCATTTCAATCGGGTTGAGGTCAGGACTCTGACTGGGCCACTCCAGAAGGCGTATTCTGTGCTGTTGCAGCCATTGTTTTGTTGAATTACTTGTATGCTTTGGGTCATTGTCCTGTTGCATCACTCATCCTCTGCGGAGCTTCAGTTGGCGGCCAGATGGTCGTACGTTTTCCTGCAAAATGTCTTGATAAACTCTGGAATTAATTTTCCCATCAATGACAACAATCCATCCAGGCCCTGAGGCAGCAAAGCAGCCCCAAACATGATGCTCCCTCCGCCATGGTTTACAGTGGGGATGAGGTTTTGATGTTGGTGTGCTGTGCCTTTTTTTCTCCACACATAGTGTTGTGTGTTCTTCCCAAACAACTCAATCTTGGTTTCATCTGTCCACAGTATATTTTGCTAGTAGTGCTGTGGAACATCCAGGTGCTCTTTTGCAAACTTCAAACGTGCTGCAATATTCTTTTTGGACAGCAATGGCTTCCTCCGTGGTGTCCTCCCATGTACTCCATTCTTGTTTAATGTTTTCCTTATTGTAGATGTGTCAACAAAAATGTTAGCATGTGCCAGAGATTTCTGTAGGTCTTTAGCTGACACTCTGGGATTCTTCTTTACCTCATGCAGCATTCTGCGCTGTGCTCTTGCAGTCGTTTTTACAGGACGACCGCACCTAGGGAGAGTAGCAACAGTGCTAAACTTTCTCCATTTGTAGACAGTCTGTCTTACCGTGGACACATGAACATCAAGGCTTTTGGAGATACTTTTGTAACCCTTTCCAGCTTCATGCAAGTCAACAATTCTTGATCGTAGGTCTTCTGAGAGCTCTTTTCTGCGAGGCATGGTTCACATCAGACAGTGCTTCTTGAAACCAGTAAACCCAAAACAGGTGTGTGTTTTTTAAGGGCAGGACAGCTGTCAGCAACACATCCAATATTATCACACTGATTGGAGTCAAGGTTGGCTCACTCCTGGCTCCAATTAGCTCTGGGAGAAGTCATTAAGCTAGGGCCTCACATACTTTTTCCTCCCTGCACTGTGAATGTTTACATGTTATGTGCAATTAAACCATGGCAACATCTAATGTTTGTGTAGTATTATGTTCAGCAGACTGTGTTCTTCTATTGTTGTGACTTAGATGACGTTCAGAGCACATTTTATGCCCAATTCATGCAAAACTCCACGTAATCCCAAGGGGTTCACATACTTTTTCTTGCAACTGTATGTCTTTTTGCTGATGATACAAAGGTGTGTAATAGGGTTGATATCCCTGGAGGTGTCTGTAACATTGAACAGTATATGGCATTGCTAAAAGATTGGTCAAAAAAGTGGAAACTGCAGTTCAATGATTCTAAATGTAAAATAATGCATCTAGGGAAAAAGAATCCCTTGAGAGAGTGCAACATTGGGACTACAGTGTTGGCCAGCACTACAGAGGAAAAAGACTTGGGGGTACTTATTTCAGATGATAGCGAAATGTGCAAACAGTGTGACCAAGCAGTGGGGAAAGTAAACAGAATTCTAGGATGATATTGAAAGAACGAGCCCAGAGAGCTGGGAAACAAAAATAGTGAAAGGTCTGGGGGATAAAAAATATCAAGAGCGACTTCAGAAACTTAATATGTACAGTCTGGAGGAAAGAAGGGGAAGGGGAGACATGATTGAAACCTTTAAATACATCAAAGGGGTGAATAAATGTTCAGGAGGGCAGGATTTTCAATATGAAACCAAAATCAAGAACAAGGGGGCATGACCTCAAACTAACCGGAGGAAAGTTCAAAATTAATCTTAGAAAGTATTATTTTACTGAAATGGTAGTTGATGCTTGGAATAAACTTCCAGCAGAGGTGAGTCAGTCAACAAAAAATGGCTTGGGACAAATATAGATCTATACTCAGACCAAAATGTTAATTGAAATAAAAAACAAAATACAAAACAAACACAGGCAGACAAAAATAGGCAGACTCAATGGTCTTTTTCTTCCGTCACTTTTCTATGTTTCAATTGACCACTCATATATAACCAGTTAAAGGTTCGCTTATAATCAAAGTCAGGCTTGAGTGGTGTAGATCTCAGCACAGTAGTGAGCCTACTGATATTTACACCACCCAAGCCTGACTTTGATTATAAGTAAAGCGAGAACCTTTACTGGCTATATGTGATTTGCCAGTAGATAAATGCAGGAGACTTGGATAGCTGTACTCTGAAAAAAATCATCCCCTTTATTGTTGTGATAACATCTTTAATAGTGAAAGCAAGACACTGTGTGCATTTCATGCCATCTCAGCGCTTACTCAAAATATGAGATTTGTCAATTTGCTGTTTTTATTAATAAATGTACCTCACTTACTACACTCAGATTGTGCTCTCTACTATTTTTATTTGTTCTCCTAGAAATTCTTCAGTTTCATAGAGGTGCCGCAGAGTGTAGATCAGCAAGAAATCACCCTGGAGTTTCCATTCAAGGACTTTACACTTTTTCTGCTGAACTCTATAGACAAACACTTTAAACATATGGACATCAGCCGACTCTATACTAGTGTGCTATAATCACTTTCTCCAAGTCCACACTGAGATTAAGCCCCAAGTTCTCCTTGTGCTAAACCCCTATGACTCAACTGTCAAATGGCTAAAATTCACTGGACAGTAGAGGATCTGGTATTTAACAGTTGAATTGACTTCACAGCATATAGCGCTGGGGGATAGAGTAGGGCTTGAAATGTGGATATAGTTTAAATAACAGGGGTTGATTACCTTTGTTCATGTGTTGGTGCACCCATTAATAGCCATCTTGGAAGACCATGACAATTCTGACATTTTCCTGCTACATCCAAAAGGAGCAGTTTTCTGCTCCAGTGCTATTTTTTGGGGGATTTATCATTGTTTCACATTTCACAGTTATCATGGATATCCATTTTCTAAATATCATGAACCTATTATTCATTTTCACAGCCCGATAACCTCTTTAGGGTAAACCAGTCACCATACCTATGACAATACATTCTTGTAAAGAAGCATCAGGCAGATTTATTTGTGTGGTACTGTATAACAAAATTAAATATTGTTTATTTTACACAATTGTATTTATAATCTTTCTTGTCCATTATACCTTTTGTTTACACTATTAAAAAGTGCTGGTTAAAAAAAAAAAAAACATAGAAAAATCAATAAAATTTCTAATTATGTTACACAAACTTGCTGTCACAAACCACTTTCCATGATGTATGTCTTCGGACTATTTATACTTGCTATGATGTGGTTAGGAACACGCAATACTCCTTCAGTACTTCCAAGCATCAAATATTTAACTTCCTGTCCATTCTATGGTAACAGATGTGTGTAACAGACGCAAGAAATGTAAGGACTGTATATATAGCAAAAGAACACCATAGGCAGGTGAATGCTGATAGTTTGAAGGCACATTACAGCCTCAGCTGTTCAAATGTCTAGTCTTTTTTTTTCCGGTACAAAAATAAATGTGTCTTTGAAAAAGTAGAAAGACTCCTATTTTCTTTAGAGCTTATTTGATTCAGGAGCTTATCTTCTTGTGTGCTATGTCAGTTTCCTGTGAGTCCACTGACTCAAGTCCAGAATGAATTGAACACAGCAGACATCCATCGCCCAGTGTTTATATAATATATACTTTGTTTTTTTTTTTCCTTTCATTTTTCTTTTTGCATTGCTCTCTGTTAGGCTGTAACATTTCAGCAAACAGTTGTACTGAAAGTGCAAATATGAAGTTTGCTACAAACAGCATTGAAGGCTTGAACCGTTATCTGCAGGCACAGGACTCCACTGTCATGTTGGGATAAACCTTAAGCACGACATTCTTGTTTTCATCAAAGAACAGAATGCTGAGAGACGACATCTTTTCTGGGACGCAACAAGGCTCGGGAATGCCGGGTACCACCCCCACAGCGCGTACAATGCTCTGAATGGTGGCATGGTTGGATGGCTTCAAGGACTGAAAAAAAAAATAATATATTAAGAATTTGTATAACCTAAATTAGACAGGCATTTCTTCTACCTTTAAATTGCACAGCTAAATTATATTATGAAAGTATTGATATTATCTATGGCAGCCCATACATGAGTAATTTTGTTTGTGCAACCAAATGTTTTGTTTAATCAAATGTTTTTTTTTCCTTTTCTTGTACATCAGCTTCTGTACAACCTGCCTGCCCATACATGGATTGAAATTGGGCCAGTTCCAGCTGAACTGGCCGATTTCCATCCATGTATGGCCAACTTAATGCTGCCTTTATCAACCTTCTTTATGTGGACGAACCCTTGAACTGACCTTCTGGTCTCCGGGAACCCCTGCTAATCATTACTATGTATACAGTTCATGGTATATTAGCATGATAGCCAGTGGGAAGAACACTCCTTACATTTGTGATCAGTGGGAAAACTCTTGCCCATACAGATAGATAAAGTGAACAGTGGTTACTTACTGTAGTAAGGTAAAGGTTAAAATTGCTCATTGCTCAAGAAATCCCTAACAACTTCTGCCGGAACCCTGTTGAGAAAAGCTGGTCTGATGTGTAAATTAACCGCTTCCATGCTGTCCTGTATATCATGTATATATACGTGATCTTGCCGTTGCGGGTATGTGGCACGCGGGTGCCCTACACACACCGCCATTTGCGGCCCTGGCTGTCAGTTACCGGGTCCCGGCCGTTGATTCTCCGCCAGCACCTGGTGATTTCCGAGTATTACTGACGGGGGAGAGACCTGTATATAAACAACACAGATCTCTCCCCTGTCAGTGCACACTGATTTGTAAGTCTTTGCATAACACTGTCATACAAAGCAGTGTGCTTACAGTGTAAAAGACACACACAACACATTGTAAAACAGCACACAGCACACTGTTAACCCTTTGATAGCCCCACGTGTTAACCCATTGTGCTTTTTTTATTAGCACTGATTACTGTATTGGTGTCATTGGGGATGTCAGTGACACCAAGTCAGTTCCCCCCAGTGTCAGAATGTCCGCTATAACTCGCTGATCGCCGCCATTACTAGTAAAAAAAGATAAATTTAAAAAAATTCCAGTATATATATATATACCGCCATTTGTAAACCCTATAACTTTCATGTGAACCAATTATTTACATGTGTTGGGATTTTTTTTTAGCAAAGACGTAGCAGAATACATTTTGGCCTAAATTTATGACGAAATTTGATTTCTTAAATTTTATTACTAGGAATCTTTAATAGCAAAATTGTGGATGAAATACCACCGAGAGAAAGCTCAATTATGGGAAAAAAAGGACGTAAATTTAATTTGGGTGCAGCGTTGCATGTCTGTGCAATTGTCAGTTAAAGTAACACAGCGTCATGTTTAAAAATAGGCCTGGTCAGGAAGGGGGGTAAATCCTCTGGAGGGCAAGTGGTTAAATGTTCTATTTATACACACACACACAAACATATATATATTTATCAGGCTGTAGCATGAAGGTCAAAAATATCGTCCATGCAAAGATTTATAAATATTCATAACACAGTCCAAGCAACTTATTGCTAATATATATATAATCACTCATTATCATGACTGCAACCTACACAAAAACCAAAGCAATCTAGGATATGTTTCTTTAAACTCCGTTTTTTTTTCTTTTTAATGGGCCCGCAGGAAGTTTATGCCATACAATGCTAGTGTGCATTGCATATTAGCACATTATGACAGACTTACCCATCAAATGAAGCCCTTCAGCCAGCTCAATACTCCAGCGGTGTCAGTGATCCAGCTGGTCTTGGGCACTTCTACTGTCACTTGGTCCTTTTTCCAGGTTCGCATGTGGACAGGAGTCACTTCATCACGGCCATAAATGTGTTATGAGTTGCACATGTGTGGCTCAGTGGATTTTACAGCTGGCAGGCAGGGACTAGGGTCTCTCCTGTTATAAAAACCCTGCCTGTCAGTGTTTTTCAGAATTTAGAGTTTAAATAGTTCCCTTAGTATGCTTCTACTGAAAATATTTTCTCTAGTCCCAACCACGGCACCACCTGCCTGGAGTTTGCATGTTCTCACTGTGCCTACGTGGGTTTCCTCCAAAACTCCAAAGACATGCTGTTAGGTTAAGTAGATCCTGTCTAAATTGTCCCTAGTATGTATGAATGTAAGTTAGGGTCCTTAGATTGTACACCCCTTGAGGGTTAGGGACTGATGTGAATGTACAATATATATGTAAAGCGATGCGTAAATTGACTGCACTATATAAGCACCTGTAATAATAATAGTAATAATTTTCTTGATGAATTATACATGCTGGGCAAATGAATCATAAGTTGCACTACTTTTCATGTATACTGTACATCAGTAATTAATATAGCAAATACAACTGTTATACCAACTTCTAAGCATCTGTATAGTCTATAACAAATTTACATCATTACTTTTCAGAGCCTTTTGGTCTTTAAATTATGCTTCCTCTCGCAGTCAGAACTCCTGATTTGAAAATGATGTACCACATGGATATATGAAATCCTGTACAGTGATTCATTTACTGCCTCTTGTTTATGGATGTCCTCGTTTGGCTTTCAAACTGAATAACAAGCTTATCTCAAACAACTAGAAGACATGACCTAGCCCTTAAAAAATCCTTTACTTTGCTTTTTCAACAACACTGGAAGAAATATTCATGGAAAAGGGGTTAAAAACGTTTTCTTTAGATATCTATCTGACATTGTATGAGACTGCCACTTTCCGGGTCTGTATTTAAAAAATGTATGCTGTAAATTATCTTTTTAATGTGTTGATATCTTTCCCTTGTCTTTTTTTTTTTTTGGGGGGGGGTCTATTTTGAGGTATTTCTTAAATACCTCAAATAAAAAGGATTTTTTCCATTTTTGTAGATCACACTCTAGCCAAATTTTTTTATTTTAAAGCTCCTAAGTGATGAGAAATCCAGAATGTTGACTGTAGGAATAACTTGTATTGTTACAACCGTTTAAGTGGGCAGTAGTTGCCTAAAAGTATATCTAAGCACAAAAACAAAAATCAAATATAGTCCAATCCTCAGATTTGGTCGCTGCATTAATTTTTTAAGGCTTTTTCTCTTTATTTTCACCATAAATGTGGCTGGTAACACACCTCCTATCTTATGCAGGCCATAGATGGGTTGAAAATCGGCCGAAAATTTGTCCAAAAGAATAATCGGCTGATTTTCGGCTCGTTAGTGGGTGAATTGGTCGGCCGTTTTTCGTGATTTTGACACATTTTTTTAATCAGTTATGTTGGAAAAAAACTGGCTGATTTTGTCCATCGGCCGATTTTTACGGCAATGATGGGCAAATCGGCTGATCTTTTTACCGATTAAAAAAATGCGCATGAGCTGTGACCTGCAAGGAAAAGAAGAAGATGAAGACAAAGAAAAAGAAGAACATCTGTATCTATTTGTATCCATTTTGGATGCACAGATGTTTCTATTCTGATACAAATAGATACAATGTTGCAACCGCAATACTTTTAAATGTCAAATATCATAGCGGTGTCCCTGCAGAGAGCTCCGCTATTATATTTGACATTTAAAAGTATAGCGGTTGCAACATTGTATCTATTTGTATCCGAATGGATACAAATAGATACAATGTTGCAACTTTGCTATACTTTTAAATGTCAAATATAATAGCGGAGCTCTCTGCAGGGACACTCTGCAGGGACACCGCTATTATATTTGCCGGTTGTAGCCAGGACGAAAATCAGCCGATTTTTTTTACCAATGGTGGTAACGTCGGCCGATTGAACGACCGATTTTTTTTCGTTTTTTAAGAAAAAAACTGCCCGGTTTTCTCCTCGTCTATGGCCTGCATTAGGGTGGCTAAACTCTCTCCTCCACTATATTTATGGAGGAGCCAAAAAGCTATCATTCAACAGCAACATTGTCAACCTGTACAGAGGATAGTGTTAGATGAACTTGTAGATTTTGATGGTCTTTACAGAAGTGACTAACAGATTATAGTTTAACCTCGACTACCTTTTTTAAAAGTTGCAGAAACATTTTTTCCCTTTTGGGATAAGGTATATGAATAAAAGCTGACCATTGTAAGCACCCCCTGTGTTACACTTTTTAGTTTCAACCCTCTAACTGCCACTTTTGTCTTAAAGTGGAAGTAAAGGCAAAATTACAAACTTACACGTATGTTTGTAATTTTACATGCAATGTCTCTTCTGCAATAAAATGAACCTGCTTGCAGTGTTCTGTAGCATGTACATTGAGCTGCACATGCGCATCTGAATTTACATTGCCGACACGGTCTCTGTGTGCCAGTATGACTAATATTAACCAGCACCCCAAGGAAGACAGGGAGAAGATACTGGTGAGGGATTTCTCATGGACATAGAACAGTTGAAGAGAAAGTAAGTATTGTGACCTTAATTCCACTTTAAAGAATCACTTTAGTTCCGTTGACTTTAGTTCAGCTTTAAGTTGAGAAAAATAATATAAATATTGACCAGATCGACAGTTAGAAAATAACTAAAGGCAAAGCTTTCTTTTTAGTTTTGTACAGAATGGAGATGGATTGTCAGTCTTTGTCCCCATTAGGGAGATTCATCCTCTCTATTTGTCCTGTTTACCGTTGAATTGAAAGTAAAAGTAAAAGAAAATCCCAACTTTTGTATTTTCCCCAGAAAAATAACAGAGGGGAAATCTTCTAATAGGGACACCAATTCTGGTGACCTGGGGATCTTCTCATTTCCTGTTTGGCTATGGGACAGTAAGTGAAGGGAAATTTCCATAAGGGGACACAAAAAAATTGACAGGGGTTATAACCCTTCCCTACTCTATCCAAAACGAAAAAAAAAAAAAAATTCTTACAGTTCTATTTTAACACAACTATGTTACGGGGGCTCAAAAAAAAGACCACTGTGTTAATGATATTGACTAACTCTGCATTTTTTTTATATTGCCCATAGTTCCACTTTTAACTCGAAAATGATGAGCCTTTACAACTGTA